TTGATTAATTAAACATTGCACTATATTATCAGTCTTTCATAAATAATGATCATGTATGAAAGAATGGAACCATCTTTTTCTTTTTCTTTTTCTTTCTTTTTTTTGGTGTAATTGGTTCAGTTTTACACAACAGCTTTCAAATTCTCCAGACTGCCTTTTTGTCGTTTTTGTCTCAAGGCAATTAATGTCGACAAGCTAGGAAAAACATATTTTAGGCTGATTAATTAAACATTGCATTGATATACAAAGTCTTTCATCAATAATGATCGTGTATGAAAGAATGAAGCCAGTATCGAATATTGGCGTTGGCCTTGCTTACTTAGTAATTTTAATTTAAAAATGGAGTAATCATAGGATATGTTTTACTGCAAGCCAAAAAAGTTAGGAAAAAAGTTAACCTAGCTGGATGATTTTAGTATGGACTTTGTTGTACTTTTCTGTACAAGCTAGTAATTTGCATAAACTTCAAAACAGTTCATATATATTGAATCACGAAGTTGTATTTTTGGACGACTTGTGTAAGTGTGTGTAAGTGAATCACGAAGTTGTATTTTTGGACGACTTTTTTACTTCAATTTAGTTTAGAATGAAAAAACAACATCATATTTAGTGTATTAAGACCGGATATAGTAAAATTCAAGCAAGTAATAATGGTTAGTTATAGTTTATTTCAGCACTTGATTTGCATATTTCATGAAACATTTTAGGAAAAACACGAAAAAGTCCGAGGTTACTGTAAAGAAGATACTTAAAAAGCTCAAAATGCTTTAATGAACCACTCTTATCAACCTTCGATCAGCAGAGTGCACTAACTCAAATAATCCGTTCTGGACTTGGGAGAAAAAAGCTCTAGGACCGAAACGTCTGTAAAAAAATTCATTTTTTTAATGTCAGAAAAAAACCATTTTATTACATTGGCTTAATGTGTCTGACTTCATTGATACCGTCGACAATTTTAATTTTAATTTAAAAATTTTAATTTCATGTGCCCTGTTCCATTACATTGTATTCTCACAGTACTGTGTATAGCGTCGATAGGCCAGGAGGTTTTAGAGAATTTGTTTTTTCTTTTTAGAAATACAAAAATCAAGACCACATATGCGTTTTTAAGTTATATTTTTGCTTGCACCGTAAAACCTTGTCTGGCTCGTAATTTTCCGGGAGTTCCTTACTTTATTGCTCGTGATAACACCAGTCCAGTTTGACATACTTTACATCAATAATTGTTGCTGTTTTTTGAAATTTTATCGCCCAAAATGTCAGCAGAGAATGTTTTTAAATTCTCTGCTATTTTTATTTTTATTTTTATTTTTTCAAATAGACATAATCGTTTTTCTTGTCTTCCGTGTCCACCAGCTGGACGCCGATTTGTTTTGAAAGAGAAGAAACCACATAACCATAGTGCAGTTATATTTCACATATGAAATTGCAAATTACGCGTGACATTTTTTCTTAGAATTTGATAGCAGTTTGTCCTCTATGGTATTGCAATAAAAACAGTATAATTAAGATAGAGTAATATTAAGCTCATTTTGGTAATTCTAACTGAAATAACTAAGTATAAAGCAAGGGCTTAAACAAGACGGTTTAGGAAGTTACGAGTTTTAGGTCCATTAAGCAGAACACGATGCAAAAAGAAGAATATCAGTTTAATGAATGTAAATAATAATTTAGCAAATGAGTAGATATAGAAAAAAATTTCAATAAATATACAGGGTTAAGACGCCGAGGTTTGCCATTTTTTCGTGATTGATTCGCGAAATTTCGGTACACAAATCGGAAATCAACTGATCTCAGAAATTTCGTAACACAAATCTTATAGACAGGGAAATCCTTTCCAAAGAGGACATCCAGGCATCAATCCAGTTATCCCATAGAGTATTGCTCGATAGTTTGTATATAGAAGTTTCAGTAGGATCAAAGATATCCAAATTTACTGTCAAATAAATACGAGGAAAAAAGTCTTCTATTATAGCAAATAAAAGTCTATTAGATAATTACTTTCTTCTCTTTTTGCCGATGTTGATTTGGGTAGTTTTAGTAGCGTTTAAAGACGAAAAGAAACGGCGTAAAAACAATAACTTCATGTTTATTCCGCCATCTTGTAAAACTACTAGCACGGCTCAACATCGTAGCGCAATGCATTCTGGGAGCTATAGCGTTAATTACGTAAGCATAAATTACGATCTATCAACAGCCGAATTAAAGACATACAGAACAAGTTCAAGTTACTCTTTCAACACGCTTTAATCCTTCAAAAACTATACAGTACGAATACTACTTCTGGTTATTCATTCCTGTCATGCAAGACATTCGCTTTCTTTTTCTATAAGTTTAATCGCCATAAATTTTTTCAAAGCCTGGCTAAATCAACTCGATATTGTAGTCATTTTCACTTGGCCTCGCTTCTATGCACATTCACGATAGCGTCGGCTATCCGTGAAGTGGTTGTAGAATGAACTTTCGACATCAGAAATAATTCCTTAGTCTCTGAATTCAATCATACAATACCGATCCCTCTCCTGTGATTCCTGATTCAGAGTTTGTGAAACCGATCCCAAGCATGTAATTATGATCCCTTATTCCAAATCCCTTGTCACGATCCTTAATACTAGATGATGAATCAGTAAGCGACCTTAGAAAGACAATTGGGCACTTTAGAAACGAGGAAAGGACGAGGAAAGARCATATAATAGGTATTGATGATTAATCTTATTGAAATTATTTCCATGACGAAAAAAAGCACATCAAAATTAACCTGAGGTTTCTGCAGATTGGCTTCGATTGGCTAAGTAACAGTTAAATTACAAGCAATCAAAAACATACAAATTACAAAGTAATGTATGTTTATTAGGGACAAGCGTCTTTAATTTTTGAGATGTTTGGGAGGTTGCATACACAAAAGGTATGAAACCCAAAATCTTGAAACTCCAGAGATTGACTAATTTTGATGTATACTCTTTCTTGTTATGGTGTTTATTTTTTAACTAGGATAATTCTAAAAATCGTTCTCAGTCCTCAACTTGTTTCTAAAGCTGGCAATTTAATATAAAAGCTAATGATACAAGACGACGTTTCGTTGTCATCTCGACAACATCATCAGGTCAGTTAGAAATTATTGCAAACAATTCAATTCAGGTGACAACGAAATGACAAAAGAACGTTGTCTTGTATCATTAGTTTTCATATTGAATTAGTAATTGAGTGGTGATAGAATAAATATATGGTTAAAATATAAGATGGGAAATTCAGTGAAGAACGCTCCTCTTGGCAAGAACTTCAGCATGTATTAAAATCAATGTTGTGAACCAAATTGAAGTGAATGTGAATGTTACTAAATATATATACTAGTTATACGCTTAAATATTGTGTTGAGAATTATGTGTATTAGCGGGGTATATGGTGATATATTGCTTGCAAATAATGGGAATTTTCTGAATTCTATTTGTCGTGTTCTTATTGCTTTTGTTGGTGTTGTTTGCTTTCTCTTGATTTATCTCAACATACTTTACAAGATACTTAGTATTTCCTAATCCAAACATCAGCACAAGTTTGTCCCTCGTTGTCTTCTTCATAAATGTTTTTCAGATCTTCATCCACCCATATCCTAAACTCCTTGCCTGCTGTCACTGCTAGGGGAGGTGACAACTCAGGGAATGTAAGTTCTGGGTCCATGTTGGTCACACCTGGTAACTGGTATATCAGGAAACCGAACCGAACGTAAGTCAGTGGGAAGTCAGGTGGCGGACTGATTCTATTGTTGTCGGCATCAGTGATGTGTAAATTAAGATCTTTATTGTTGTGTCTAATGGTAGTTCCCCAGTAGGCTTTGGTGTCTCCAGGTTTCCACGATAATCCACCTCCAGACACATTAACAAGTTTGAAGTTCAAGACATGGCAAGCAACCGGGATAGTAAAATTTCCGGACTGATTGTTTTTCCCACCAATACACACTGCGCTACCAGCTTTAAGCCATTCTACGATTTAATAAATAATCCTGACTTTAGTTCTAGTTTAACTATTAGGTCTCTCAATTCATTTGAGGCTTTTTTCAGAGGTTCCTTAATTTCCCTCCCTCCACAAGATCTAGCACACAAAAATTAAAACTCAATTAAAACTTGTCGGCATATCCCTATATAAAGAAATGCAGAAGAAATAAAACAATGTGGATTGGTCAATTCCTTAAGTGGTATCAATAACCATGGGAGTGTTGGGTTAAATAAATAATGGAAAAGCCACTAGCTTGATCTTACCTATAGCTCGCTCGCAGTGCTCTCCTACAAACCCTGCAGCACATGTACAGTTGTATGAGTTGACTCGGTCTTGACATGATCCTCCATTTTGACAAGGATTAGAAGTACAATCATCGATATCTGTTTGAAAATATATTTGTCAATGATATACTTCTTAATATACTTACAAAGATCTACTACCATCTGTACCGCTTCAAAGAATAATTTGATATACATTATGGAGTACTCATAGTCGATGAAATGGCGGCCATCTTGAACTATAAGACACCATGGGCAAATAAAGAACTAATGTGAGGTTTGATGACATGTTTTTCTCTATATCTGCTGTCATTATTACAGCAAAAAATGCATGACACATCGATAACCTTAACCGACCAAAAAATAGCATAAAAAATTAGCAGCCATCTTTGTTTTGGTTTGTTCCCTAGATACCCCATAATGCCTTGCAATCCAACATGGCGTCCTTATTATCGGAGTAGTCCATAGAAATCATTCACCCATGAAAAGTTTGTAAATTGAATGAAGAATTGTCCTTATCTTAAAAGGCCGTTCGTGGCAAACTCGAAGTATAAATGTCAATTTTTTGAAAGTTAGATTAGAAGTCGATTATTAAAAATTGCATTTAGTTGTAACTAATAATCTGTTTCAAAACTGTTCTTTTCTGTGAGGTATTAAATAAACTTTGTCCCGTTAAAACTGTCGCTTTTGTCGTTTTCGAGGGTCGAAATGAGACAGAAATTGTCGCATTTCGGTGCAATAAATAATTGTCATTTTTAACTCGTGGATACACGTAGCTTAGAAACAAGTTATAGTTATGATATATCACGTGACCATTGGGTTGCCTGTGGTAGATCAGACGCTGAGTTATGTAAGCACTTGGTTAGCACTCGCAATGAATTACGAATAAAGGGTAGA